TCATTTGTACATCATTCTAGACAGAAATAAATGGCCTTTTTAGAAAGTGAACCATGGATGGGGAAATGTTGGCAGTATAATTACCTTGGTTTATTCGAAAAATTTTGATCCTTAGAACCGTCTTCACATCGGAACAAGCCCAAATAAGTACCAAAGTGCCGATTTTGAAGCTTGAAAAATTCTAACAAAGCGGGGATTTCGAGCTGCCGTTTGCACTTTTCAGATGTTGGAAGTGCATAAAGACGTTGCAACTGCGGTTCCAATGTCGCAATTTCAAAATGTGGCGTCAATCAAATAATGAACAGAACCACAAACAACCCAACGTTAAATCAAGGTGAACATTTGCAAATAAAGCACTCACCTAACGGCCCATAACACTCAAGAGCGAACTTTTCGCCCAAAATATGGAGCAACAGGCCGAGCATGGCCGGCGGAAATTCGGCCATGAGAAACAGCAGCAGGACGGCCAACAGCATCTTGGTGGTCCTGTTGAACTGCTTCTCCTGCTCTATGTGCTTGTGGTGCTGCTTCTTCTTCAGCAGGCGCGTCTCTTTGTTGCCGCCATGCAGCGATCGCTTGCGCTTCTTGGCGTTGAACAGCTCGATCAACAGCAACGTGGAGAGAATGACCAGCAGGATGCACGGAATGAGTTTGAGCACGATCCCGTACACGTAGAAGCTGATGTCTTTGAAGATGCTGTTCCTGTAGCCTGTGTAGTAGATGGTGATGTTGCGGACTTGAGTGAAATTTGTGATCAGCGAGGCGTTGACTGCAATGGAACCGTTGGCGGTTTGGAAGCCACTTTTGGTGTTGATGCTCATCGAGGCGAGCAGCGGCACGCACACACACGCACAGAAGATGTACGTCAGCAGGATGGTGTATTTAGTTCGTGTCTCGTGGCACCAAGCAATGTTCCTTTGCGGAAACTTGACGGCGATGTAACGCCACACCGCCAGAATGATGGCCAGCGTGCAGGAAATAAAGTGGAAGGCGTTGGTGAAAAACGCATGGAAAATGAGAAAAGCCGCGAAATTGTACGTGAAATAAGAGGCGGCCTCGTGTTGCAAATAAGCAAACGGCATGTACTCCAGCATCACAATCACATCAGCTGTTGCGAGCGCGGTCAGGATTAGATTTGTCGGCGATCTCATTTGCCTGGTGCTCAAGATGAATATGTTGAACGCGTTCAGGATGGATCCGAGCGTGCAAATGATAAAACTGAAGTAGATGTGGTAGCTGCGAAAGTCTTTGCTAAATTGTTTTAGGTCGCAAAACGTCACGTTGCTGCTCGCACTCATCGTTTACTGTCTCGCTTGCGGTCCTGCGGGCATCACTCACGTTGTTGGCTTCATTTTTAGGGCCTCCGCCGCGGCCTGCAAACAAAACAAAAGCTCAAAGTGCTGTTTCTTTTCGGAATTGTTCCCCAGTCTGGAAAGGGCTTTGACAAGGAAATCGGGATGGAAGGTGGCTTGCTTTTATTGAGCCGGGCAGGTGCTTCCAAATCTGAAAAAGCCCCTACGGATGAACAAAGAGACGTGGGCAGTCACGGCCATTGTCGGCATTCTTCGCGTCGGTGAGATGGAAATGATGTAYGATTTAAGACATTTTGAGAAAATTTTTATTTTTTCAAAAAATCGACTACCACCCTTGGAAAAATTTCGGCCAAAAATCAAAATTTTACATGCATGTTTTTTGAGCTCAATCGATTCCTTTCGACGCAAGAAGATCACAAATGTACATTTATAAAGTGTTTGAGTCAATAATAAGGAAGAAATCGTCGGTCAAAGGTCGTGAACGCTCAAAAAAGGCTTAAAATGTCCCGAAAATGTCTATTATTTCGGATCTGAAACTTCGAGCATGTTTTTGAATGAGTTCGATGCATTCCTCGCATCCGTGAGCTGAAAATGATGTGAAATTTAAGACATTTTGAGAAAATTTTCATTTTTTCAAAAAATCGACCCCCACCCTTGGAAAAATTTCGGGTAAAAATGAAAATTTCACATGCGTGTTTTTCAGCTCAATCGATTCCTTTCGACGYAAGAAGATCACAAATGTGCATTTATAAAGTGTTTGGGTCAATAATAAGGAAGAAGTCGTCGGTCAAAGATCGTGAACGCTTAAAATGTGTCGAAAATTCAATTCGTTCCGGCAATGCGTGCTCCCGCTCTGTTTCCATACAGTCCTGCTGCTGCAAAATGAATGGCAATTTCGATATTTCCAGTGGGATTTATGGGCGGAAAGTAGCCGCCTAACAAGTCGTCAAATCATCAAGAAATGTAACGCCCTCACACTGGCCGTTTGGCCATTTGTCAATTAATAAATAGAATATTTCTTCGAAGCTGATGAACCAGTTGCAACTGATTAAAACAAGTAAGTAATCGACAAGTTGTTTACCCGTGCCAAGCTTTCAACGCGTTGGTGGTCAATTTGCATCGGCTTTGTTTATTTAACTTGATTTTTCAACTGGATATTCACTCTTCGATTGGAGATTTGGGATAGTTTTGGCCCACTTTTATCTAGATTAGGGACGGATTAGGACGTGCACCGTTGAAAAAGATGATCACATGAAATTAACCTAACACTTCGTTACTGTAAAAATCCTGGAAACTCCCAGAAAGTTCCTATTAAGGTGAGTTTTTCCTCAGTTAAAGCAGCCGATTTTCTCTTTCGAGTGATGTTATGGACCGCACACAGAAATTTTTTGTTTTTCCTTGGCGAATTTTTGAAAAATCCGTGTTGGGCAACGACCAATCGCTTCGATTTAGTGTCTGAAAAAATCCTGACAGCTCCCATAAATTTCCTATTAAAGTGAGCTTTTCCTCATTTAAAGCCGCAGATTTTCTCCTTTGGGCAGGCTTGACATCTTTTTGGCTTTTCCTTGACATTTTTTTTAAATTCGTGTAACATTGGGACAACCTTTACACATAAGTATAGGTTGAGCAATTTGTCTTACAAAGATGCAATGAAATTTCAAAGACCAGTTGATAATGAGTTTAACGGGCGATTTGCAACTGCCGATCCATATAAGTGATTTATTCACTGGCTATTTGATTGGTATGAACTGATTGCGATTGTTTTGCCGACCTAAATACCCGCGCTAATGTATAAGGATTTAGCGTGCGATTAAAAGCTGCAGATAATCGCACTTGATTATGAATAATTCAGGGCACAATTCATTGAATTTTCATAAATTCTGTCCGCGTGTTTATTTTATTATCGGCCTCACCCCAATTTTCTGATTAGTTTGGCTGCAAAATCAATAAGTACACTCTCGATTAGGTACCTATTAAATCGAGTTAATCAGTTACCAAGCTTTGCTCATTTTGGCAACAATTAATCTAGATCTCTTTGTTATAACAATGGCTTTTTTTCGAGGAGCAGATAGTCACTTTTTCCGCTGAGCGCGAAGATTGGAAAGAACTTTATTATTTAAATGGAGATCGGAAAAAACGTGCGGAATCTGAATGATAAAAGGCGAGTTTATTGAAGTTTTCGATTCGATGAAATCCATGGAACGGCAAGGCGGATTTCGGATGTGCTTGAAAAGCAAAGGAAATTCTTTTATTTTCTAAAACTGGAAAGCAATAAACAGTCGCGCGAGGCATCATATTCAAATGTTTCTGTCCTCTTCAACACGCCCTTTGGACGGCGTTTTCTGGGATTCTTGCCGTTAATTGCTCTTATAAGCGCGGAACTTGCAAGCATCGAAAAGCCAATAAAGTTCGGGGACAATCTGGATACGAATATCGGGCCATAGAACACGAAATTGCCGATAAAACCACAATACATGGGGCTTTAATTCAAGTCAGCACACGTGCGCCCTTTGAGGCTGAATATAACTTGGCTTTGTAATGGATCTTGTCTTAGCTGAAAGGAATTCCTGTTATCTCAACAACAAGAAGCGTGATCGTTAAACTAGAAACTATGACACGTCTAGATAAATATGTCTTTCAAGCTAATTTTCCAGGAGCGCAGACATTATAAATTGGCCCTAAATTGGGTATTATGCAGCGGCAGCTACAGCGTGATGATAAAGTGTGGGATGATAAACTTGGGGCTGTTTTAGTGGAATTGACTCCGCAGGCATTTAGTTAATTGAATGGCGTTTACTTACCTTTCGGTTGAAAGTTTCATGTCACACCGGTTTTTGCACCAACCGTCGAAACAATAGTTTTCGGTTTTTCGCGGCAGAAAAACCTCGCAGTTTGCGCGCACGCTAAACTTTCCGACTCGCTGCCAGTTCCACCAGCAGGAAGACACGCAGAACGCCGAATGAATTCCGAGGAATTTTGCAGAACAACTTCCTGCGAGAAATTGGAAAAGCGCATGCGGTTGCACGCATTTTCAAATGAACAATTGAAATCCCGAAAGCGTTTTGCGAATGTTATCGGTTTATTCACTAAAACACTGCTTAGATAGAAAGTAACATGCGAAAAGTACATATAGTAACTCTGGTAAAGCAAAAATTGTGCACGCCCCTGTGGCAGGAAAGGCGGGAGCAAAACTCGACTAGCATTGGTTGAAAGTTGCGGTTTCCGAGGAAACGCTTAT